TCAACTGGTTTCCCACGCTTCCCAGTTGAAGTGCAGAGTAGGTTGCTATGACTATTTAAGTAGTTTAGCACATGGGATTTGGTTTCCTTCTTCACATCAAATATAAAAATGTAAAAGGTTTCTGTAAATGGGAACTACTATTACTTTTATTGTTATTATCACCCATTAGGCTAGGAAAATGGTATGCTTTATAGAAATGAGAAAATAGGAAATTGTTTTCACTGTGCCCTAATAAAGCCAACATTTCAAAATAGTTTATATAATTCTTTTATGGTGTTTGAGATTGAATCAAAGGCCTCCTACATACTATGCAAATTCTCTGTCCCGAGATATATCTTTAGTTGTCAGCACTTTGTAAAATCTCTTAATACTTTTTTGATCTTCGCTTAACCTCTGAGTTCTCAATATTTCTAAAGAATACTTGTTTGTCTTCTCACCTATTACTGTCACACCATCCTAAGCATCCGAAACTACATGTTTATCAAATTTGCTAAGATTCCTGACCTCCTGGTTGTCTATTATTATGCATAGATCACAAGTGTCCTTAATTCCTAGAAAACTCCCAATGCTTTAGCCTCCAGACCCAACATGATTATATACAGTCAGGGAAAGATGTATCTTTTGCAAAGAGGTGTGGTGACTGGTATCGAAATCATGTCATTTGGTATGAGTAAATGTCCCTTTCTCTCATAGTTTCAGGAACTGTCCTACAATAGCAGATTGTAAAGTTAATTTCTCCAGCATTTTTCTAGGTTCAAGTCACTACATGTTTGGCTTCAGTGAGAAACAATAATAATGGAAAAGGCTATTGTTTCTTAGGTGGATCTGAGGAGCTGAGTTTAAACAATCTCTTCTTTAAACACTAGGAAACGCACAAACAAGCTACATTTTCCAAGAGGAAATGCCAGGTACAAAGCAAATGAACAAAATATTCAAAGACATACTGGGTAACAATGCAAAAAAAAGAACCAATTCAACAGCTAAAATGGCTTCAAATTGTTCTGTTCTTTGGGCCTTTAGAACTAGCTCCTGGGTGAATCAGGAGTTGCTTGGAACTACGAAAAATGCACAGGTGTGTGTGTGTGTGCATGTGCCTGTCTGTGTGTGCCTGTCTGTGTGTCTGTCTGTTTGTTCAAGTAAATCCATCTCCTGTGGCATGCAAATGGATTAGGAAAGGAAGTATGGTACAGCCTAGGAAGGCTATGGTAGGTATCATAGTTACTTTTCTATTGCTATGACAAAACGCCATGACTGAGACAGCTTATAAAAGAATGAATTTAGTTGCTCTTACCACTTCAGAGGGTTAGAATACATATGGCAGATCAATGCCTAGTGGCAAGAACAGCTGAAAGCTCACATATTGATTGAAAATATGAGACAAAAATGATGGAGGAGGGTCATCTGTCTATCTGTTGCTTTCATTGGTTAATTAATAAAGAAACTGCTTGGGCTGATAGGTCAGAACATAGGCAGGGAAGACAGAACAGAATTCTGGGAGGAAGAAAGCTGAGTCAGGCAGTCGCTATAGCTCTCCTCTCTAAGATGGATGCAGGTTAAGATCCTTCCCGGTAAGCCACCACCTCGTGGTGCTACACAGATTATTAGAAATGGGTTAATCAAGATGTGAGAATTAGCTAATACGAGGCTAGAGCTAATGGGCCAAACAATGTTTAAAAGAATACGGTTTTTATGTAATTATTTTGGGTAAAGCTAGCCGGTGGGCGGGAGCCCTCCCGGGCGGCGGGAAGCAATGTGCTGCTCCTTCTACACAAAGAGAGAACACACCAGGAAAGGTACAAGTTTTTAGAAACCTGAAGGTCAATCCCCAGTAACATACCTTCTTCAGCAAGGTCATAACTCCTAATCCTTCTCAAACAATTTCACCAAGTGGGGACCAAGTATTCAAAGACATGAGCCTATAAGGACCATACTAACACTATAAGTGGGGCTTAATAGGTCATCCTAGTAGGATCATGGCAGAAACAGTGCTTAAAGCTATGTCGACTCAAGAGGCTTTAGAGGAGAAGAACAACATGATCCAGGCTAGAAACCATTCTTGTGATATTTTGGTAAAGAATGGAACAGCTTTTTGGTCTTGTCCTAAGAATTTGTTTGAGGCTAAATTAAAATGCAATGGACTAATTTCTTCGGCAGAGGAAATTTCAATGCAGCATATTGACTCTGCTGCTTTGTTATTAGTAATCACTCTTAGGCAAATCTACAATGAAAGAAAGCAACTGGGGCAAAAAGATAGCTTGAAATTTAATGTCGGAGCCAAGGCTTTTGCAGAAAGAGATGAGAAAGGCCTGATATGCATTGGGATAAAAGAAGGGTTGCCCTCATTATAAGACCCCATCAAACTAAGATTCCAACCTGTGAAAATAAAAGGCCTAAGGAATTTTCTGCTCCTAAAAATCAACACCAAATCAAAGTTTCCACAAATGTGACTCAAGGATGTTGGGATCACCCCAAGTTGGTAATCAAGCTTTGCAGTGTTGTCCACATGGTTCTGGTTTTAGAATCATAAAGGGTACACGAATAAAAGGTTGAGGAATCTTCCTCCATGGTTAAGGAGAGTTGCTGAGGTCAAGAGTGGGGCAGGAGAGTCTTTACAAGGAGGCCTGAGAAGACTTGTAATGATATAAAAGTGAAACTCAGATTTTGTTGGAAACTCCAAGATGTTAGAAATTCCAGAGCCATGGGATATCTTTAAAGAAGAGTTGCATGCATGGAGTGAAACTACCTTGGGAGAGAGGGAGAGGAAGAGAGAGAGAGAGCACTTATCTTTGCGGGTATCAAGGCTGGGAAGATGGAGCTATCTAAGCTCTTTGACATCAGACATGAAACTACAGGCAGTTTGCCCTGTCAGGTTTCAATCTTTCTTTGGTCCAGTATTTCTTTGTTTTGCCCTGATTCATCCCTTCTTGAATGGTAAAATATATTCTTTGGCATTGTATTTTGGCAGTATGTAATTTGCTTTTTGATTTTACAGGTGGTGACAATTAAAAGATTGCTTATAGTCTCAGAAATTACTTTGGAGAATGGTTCCATAAGCTCATATATTTGAATATTTGGTCCTCAGTTGGTAGAACTATTTGGGAAGGATTAGGAGATATGACTTTGTTGGAAGACGTGTCACTTGTGAAGAGTTTTGAGATTTCAAGACTGCCATTCTCAGTATGCTCACTCCTCTTCCCTGTCTCTTTCTCCTGCTTGCAGACTCAGATGTAACCTCTCAGCTGTTCCTGCCACCGTTTCATTGTTCTTCTATCAAATATTCTAGCTCCCTGAAACCATAAGCCCAATTAAATGCTTTCTTTCATAACTGACCTTGCTCATGGTGTTTTGTTATTGCAACACAAAAGTAACTAAGATAGGATCCAAAACCTGAGACTTTAAAAACTGTTACAAGAAAAAGGAGAGAAACACTTCAAGTTTAGGCATATTTAGGGATTTTCTAAATAGGATTCCAGTTATTCAGAAAGTAATATCAACACTGACAAATGAAACCTCATGAAATTAAAAAACTTCTGCTAGGCCTGTATAGATGCAAGCCAGATGGTGCAAGTGCTGAGAGGGGGCAGTGGACACAATCCCCCATCCCTAACTAAGAAGCTACTTCTAATCAGCAACCACTTGCAAAGGAAAAATTAGTTTGTTCCAATGGACTCTCATTGGGTCTATAAACCACACTTAAGGGTAAGCTCCATGTCCAGCAATGGTATTTGTAGATTTTTTTTTGTCTCATGCTCTTTTGGGGGGCATTTGTCTTACTGGTCTTTTGTTTGTATATTACAGTTTTTGATTTTTATGTTGTTATGTTTTGTGCATGTGTATTTCTTATGCTTTTTTGTTTTTTAAATTCTGGTTTGTTTATTATATTTATTTGTTTTCTAGAGAGAGAGAGAGAGAGAGAGAGAGAGAGAGAGAGAGAACGTGTGCAGTTGGATAGAAGTGGAGGTTAGGAGAGCTAGGAGGAAATAAGGGAAGAGAAACCATAATCAGAATATCCTGAACATGAAAAAAAAAATATTTTCAGTGAAAGAAAAGCTTCTGCCTATCTGACAGACAGAGAATTAATATCTGGAATTTATTAAAAAATACAAAAATCTAAACAATAACAAATCAAAGAATTTAGCCAATAAATTGACTAATGATATGTACAGATAAGTTTTTGAAAGATGAAATACAATAACCATTAGAGATGAAAACTACATTGAGATTTCATCTTACTATAGCAAGAATGGTCACCATTAAAAAAAAACAAATAACAACCAATCATGAGAAGGAAATGGGCAAAAAGAAACACCTACACACCACTCTGGTAAAAATGTAGACTATTTTAGTTGCTATGAAAATCAGTATGGAGGTCTCTGAAAAAACTAATATTAGATCTACCATATGGCCCAAATCTACCAGTCCTAGGTATTTACCCAAAGGACTCCTTATCAAAATATCACAGAGCTACTTACACATAAATATTTATTGCAGCATTATTCATAATAGCTAAATTATGGAACCAACCTAAGTGTCACAGGAATTGATAAAGAAAATGTAGATATAAATGATAGAATTTTTCAGTTATACAAAACAATAAAATTATGCTGGAAATTTTAAGCATCTGAAGCCAATTATATTAAACAAATTAAGACAATCTTAGAAACGGAAATATTATGTTTTATCTTATTTGTACTTCCTAGATTTTTATACAGATACAAAAAAATTATGAAAGTAGAAACAAAACTACATGCGGGAATAAAGGAAGCTAATGGGAGGGGGAAGAAAAGAAGGTGGAAGAATAGGAGAAGGAACATACTCAACATACAATATATGCTTATATGACAATATACATATGTAATATGCAACATATCATGCAAAGTGAAAATACACAATGAAAGAATTTAAAAATTAACTTTAAAGGGAGAAAAAGTCACAAATAAACAATCTTTCTCAAATAAAATGTTCTTGAATTGGTCATATGAATAAAAAGTCAGGCTTACCTTGACATATTGAACTAGACGCTCTTTGACATTCACTTTATAAGTCTCTATGCCTAGCTCTTTAGACAAGCGTAAAATTCTGTTCTGGGTTGGTCCCACATAGGCTCCTCCAACATCTACCCATTTAACATGCTCATTCTGCAGAAAGAGGAAAAGTGATGTCACTTAAACTCTGTAATCAAGAAACCTTTTTGTCATGAAAGATCTTGTTTATTTGCTAACTTAATTGTGATTTGCATGTCCTTTATAATGTACACCTGAAACTCAAAACCTTTTGCCTTTCCACTCAAAAACTGGGGAACACTGTCTGACAATTCAATAGGCATGTCCATTTGTAGAACTATTGGTGAGGCTGATTCAGCAATACAACACATAAAAAAAAAAAACACTAGTACATCTTGCTGATCTAGATCCTTTGCAAATCACTTAGTTTATTACATGTACTTTTCTCTAGGGTTATTGCATTAGGAGTCTTCCAGGTATTTAATAATCCTAATTGCCTGATTTCTGCTGGATGAAATCTTAAATCAGCCCACATTTGTGGACTTTTGCTGATAATCTAAGACATTTCTAGGGAAAAATGGATCATGGCAAAAGTATACTTAAAAGTATAAAAATATTCATATAACTATTTAATTATTTACAAATATGTACACTAAAACTATTTCTCATACACTAAAACTATTTTATTTTCCCTCTTAAATGCAGCTCTCTACTTTTCCAACATTTTATTAATGCTTTTGATTTAATCAACGAATTGAATATTGGCAACACACAACTCCTTTGTGCATTTTTAATAAGTTTTCAGGTGTACTTGTCTTCTATTGTTTCCATCAGTTATTATGCGTACATATTCCCTTTTATCATTACTTAACTGATTATTTTTTGTTGTGTAGTAATCACTGTACTTAAAAACCTTGCAGACATAAGTAAACTTCTGAGAGTTATTTTTCTCAGAAAATATTTTCAAGATACTAATAATACAAGATAACTGTTTCTTTTCAGTATCTGAGATTTGAAGCTAGGAGGAAATGCACATGTAGCCTAGTCTTCTTGCAGTTCACCCTTAATTCTAAGATGCAGGCCAACCTGAAAAGAAGGGTTGAAAACCCCTCCTCATACACATATTTCCCTGGGATGGAAGAAAATGAACAAGGGAGAAAGTCAATTAGGGAGTCCTTCTCAGGGCACTGGAAAGACATTGGCTTTTTATATAAGTGAGAAGGTGAGCCTTTGGAAGGCTTAAATAGTGCTAAGGTCTAACTTAAAATAGATAATACAAACAAAAGTAAAAACAGGGTAATCAGAAAACTAAAGCAGTAACGTGACCTAGAGGTTATAGTGGCTCCACCCATAATATAGCAGTGACAATCATAGGAAACAGTGAATTCCAGATGTATTTTGAAGACAAAGGCAAAATAATTTCACACAGAATAAACGTTGGTCTGGAAGTGCTAAATAGGAACCCAAGTATTGATAAGTTGCTGTGTAGGAATGAATCTTGCTTTTGCAGTTGTTGGCAAGGGAACCTAGGACATTTAACAAAGTAGAAAATTATTCTACCACTGAGCAATTCAGCAGCAGCTCTCCAAAGTGAATGTTTTATGTTCCTCAACAAGAATGTACTTTAGGCATGGGGTTATACCTCAGTGATTCAGTTCTTGCCCAGTTATGTTCAGGGTTTCATGCCCAGTACACACACACACACACACACACACACACACACACATCAGTTTGGATGGTCAATTTTAAGATGTCTGTTCAACATATATATTTACTAATTTCTAACTTCCCTGACAGGTCAATACAGTGAATTTTAGTTAACATTTTACTTATTTCAATAATATAGAGGAGTCACTCAAGGTTTCCATTCTGCTTTAGCAGTAGTAGTGAAGGGTTATTTCAATTTCTTTAATCTGGATTTCATAATCTTCATGTTTTCTTTCACTAACTGTCAATATTGTTTCCTGAAGCTTCTTTAGTCTCCAACATCTTCTTAAGAATAAATCAGTGCACCAATAAATTTCTATTACTTTAACACAGACAACAAGGAGACTCTTGAGAATTTCCAAATATATCTTTAGAATACTGACACTCTCTTTAAAGCATATAATCCTAAATGAAGCAGGAAAAAGAGTGAGGCATTTCATAAAAGGTTCCCTTAAAAATCAGAAATACTCAGATGAGGTACCTTGAGTTCTGCAGGAAGACTCTAAGAAGTGTAATGTGGTGCTCTGTCAAGCTGTGCTTATTTTTTCTTATTTAGAGTATGTTACTCAGCCTACAAGGCCACAAACATGGAAATCTATTAGGGGACAAATATGTTGACCTTGTGGTGGCATTGCAGGCATTCCAACTTTATTAATTTGAATCTGTAGAATTATAGATGGTTTAATAATGAAAAATTGTTAAGTTCTGAACTTGTAGAAAAAAAATCCATCAGAAGAAGTCAGGTGAGAATATCACATTTGGAATTTTGGTTTTAAGTATATATGACTTCTTCTTCCACAATTATCCTGATTGATTGTTGTTTAATGTTTTCTATTAATACCATTCCGACCCTTCGTATACCTTCCTTATCTCTCTCTAGGCATTTGAAATATAAATGCTAAGTGTTCATTTCTAAGTATTCCTAAGATTTATTTCTCATATACCAAAGCGTGCAGTACTGAATAGACGCTAATAATTCCTGTCTGTTGATGACATATATAAATAGAGCAAAATGGCCAAGTAGCTCAAGCTAATAACATAGATTGGGATAAGCATGTTGGAATTTCATTTCCTTTACATGACTTGCTCTTAACTGAAAATCTGCATCATGACTGGTGTTCCTTTTTTAATAAGCAAAAGATTTAAATGATAAGAAAAGGAGAACAAAAGGATAACTTAATGTGTATCTCTAAAATGAAAGACTATTTTTCAAAAATGACAGAATCACATCTACTAAGTGAATATAAGCAAAATATTCAACTTGTCTTTTTCACTACCATACAATGCCTTCAATTTCAATGTAAAGATGGGCTGGTTGTAGGGGTACAAACCTATGATTCTATCATTCCAAAGGCTGGGGCAGTAGGATCTCAAGTTGAAAGTCAGTCTGATTACACAGAAAGAACCAATCTCAAAGATTTAAAATGAAGAGCCAGATACTGTGGTTCATGCTTTTAATCCCAGCCTTGGGAGATAGCGGCAGGTAAGTCTCTGCTAGTTCCTGGCCAGCTTGGTCTACAAATGAGTTCCAGGACAGCCAGAGTAAGACCCTGTCTCAAAGACAAACAGAAAATTTAAATAAACGTATACAGGAGCTTCTTGAAAGACATATATCTTATCACTCAGCTGAGAAGACTTGCATGTGAAAATGATATTAGGACTTATCAAAGTTAGACTTGTGTAGGTATAGTGAAGAGATTCTAGTCTCCTTATTCATTTTGTTCATTTTTAATGTATACAACAGTTTTGCCTACATGTATGTGTGTGCACGATGGGTATGCCTCCTGCCCACAGAAGTCATAAGAGGACTTTAGACCTGGAACTGGATTTATAAATGGCTGTTAACCATGACATAGGAGCTTGGAATCAAACCCAGGTCCTCTGCAAGAGCAACAAATGCTCTTAACCAAAACTTGCAGCAGACTATATCTAAGGAAAAACTCAGAAATACTCCAAATAAATTTAATGTCGATTGATTTACATTAAAGTAAAGGAATTGAGCATATTTTATACTGCAGAGAAGCATATCTGCAACCCTTGGAAGCTCATTAAAAAGCAAATGGAAGCTGGGTGGTGGTGTCACACGCCTTTAATCCCAGCACTGGGGAGGCAGAAGCAGGCAGATCTCTGTGAGTTCGAGGCCAACCTGGTCTACAAGAACTAGTTCTAGAACAAGTCCCAAAGCTACAGAGAAACCCTGTTTTAAAAAAAAATTAAAAAGGGGGAAAAAAGCAAATGAAGATTCAGAAGTCCTAAGAATTTACTCACAAATTTCCAGATGATGCCTGAGCAAAATAGAAACAGGCCTCATGGGCCTAGTGAAGTAGATGCACATAATAGAAAGAATGTGTGACATGGTATGACTGGAAGAGTTACTGTATCATCCTTGTTGAGATGCCATTACTCAGCTATTGCAGCAGTATTCCAAATCTCCTTTTTATGCCGGTTTCTTCTCCACTGCCTGGCAATGTTAAATATTTGCTTTCCCTACAGTGGAGATAGCTGCTCTGCCTAATGAGACAAATGTCTGCCTGGAGTTTACTGGTAAACGTTCTGTTTGTCTCAGCCAAGGATAGTGCTGCTCTTTCATTCTATTTTCCTTTTGTTTGTTTGTTTTGTTTCTGTTTTTTAAACAAGACACCACTATGTAGCACAGGCTGGTCTCATTACCCTCTTGCCTAGGCCTTTCAAGTGCTTACTACTGTGAGTCACAAGGCCCAGGGATTCTTGCTCCCTTGGGAATAGACTTGCTTAGAGCCACAGTACTCACTTTGTTACCAAAATATAACAAGCCAACATGCAAAGAACTGTAGAAAAAAAGGGTAGGAAAAACCTGAAACCTTAATGACAAAGCTAAATTCCTGTACTGTCCTGGAATATCTACTAGTAAATGTCTGTGAAATAATTTAATGTTTTCACTGCCTAAGCCACTGTTACTATCATTGCATAGGCCATTCTGTTATTAGCCTAACAGAAACATCTACCTAGGCAGGCATTCTCTTCTTCTAGCCTTTTTTTAAAAACAATATTTTTTTTACACTGCTAGTACTCAATCATTACCATTCTATTTGTGTATTCTACCAAAGGAGATCATTAATGAATTTCTAACTACCACAAAGAAATGTTTCTACCTTTATCCTATATCATTTGGCACTGTTGAGCATTCCTTCCTCTTCCCTCCAGTGACAGGCTAGCATAGCAGTGTTTCAGGCTGGCCCTCCTTCTCAGTTTCTATGGCTTTTCTCTAGCTCCTTTTCCCTCTGTCTCCTTGTCTCATTACATGCCCTACAAACTTCCATCTTTCACCTTATTTCCTTATATCTTCTCCAAATGTACTTTTTCATGAGCACCCATAGATTCAGTTATTTGTAAACACAGTAATATTAAACAATAATTAGCTCACAATTTCCCAGAATACTAATGTAGTCAATATAGAAAAGGCAGTGATATAACAAGAACTGTGCTTCTTTTACATAGCCAGACTGAGGCTGAGCAAAGAGGCCAAAGCAAAAAGTACACAAGATATGTTACATTTACTTCTACACTTCTTTATACTTTATATTTGTTGAATAAACAAGGAACCTACACTGAGTGTGTGTGTGTCTGTGTGTGTGTGTGGCTACAAAATTACTTTTAGTACAGCCAAACTACTACATTACCTCAGGTACTATATACTCAATTTGACTCTCTTAATATAGAGATTATAACACTGTAATAAAGTTATTTGTTCACATTTGTTGTTTCATTAGAATGTTAGTGACTGAAGTCAGAGGCCATCACTGTCTAGTAAGCACTTGTTGAAAAATGATCATAGTACTATATGTCTATAATCCCAGCACTTGGAAGACTGAGGTATGAGAATGAATTTGAGGGCAGCCAGAACTATATAATGGGTTTAAGGCCAGCCTTAGATACTGAGAAAAATACTGTCTCAAAAAGAAAGAAAGAAAGAAAGAAAGAAAGAAAGAAAGAAAGAAAAGAAAAGAACAGAACATTTACTTGATGAAATAGTGTAGACTTGGTGGGCAAATGGCTTAACTGTGTGATCTTATTCAGTGCTATGACTTCAAGTGGCCCTATTTATACTTTTAAGTGACATGCTATAATTATTGAAATCACTTACCCTCACAGTATATGTTCTTCCTCCAACTCTATCACGAGCTTCCAAAACCAAGACATTAATTTTATATTCAGACAAGAGTTTGGCAGCAGCCAATCCTAAAGGCAAAATAAAAGAGACGAAGCATTAACATCTAAATGCCAGACATTCCAGACTTGATCAGATCTATCCAGAAAATGAGTAAAGGACAGTACATTTAATCTGTTGATTTTGCTATTATTGTAACAAACTTTGACCAAATGACTAGCTTATTCATCTTGTATTTAAGGTGAGCTATTGGAAAAAAAAATAGTAATATTTTTTTAAAGTGTATCTTGTTTTCTAGAGTAGTCAAATCACACTTAGAGAATCTTCTGATCCCTCTTCCAGAAATTTGGACTGTATAAACAGATATAGGACTCAGTGATTCAGTGGAACAACATTTGCCTACCATGCCTCATACACAGAGTTCCATCTTTAGCACTAAAAATTTTAATTAAATAAACAGAAGATGGTGTTTTTCTGTAAAACTTTCATACCTGCAGCCGCACTCAGATGTCTAGACTTTTCTCAATTTAAATTTTACCACCAGTTCCTATTACTTATATCTATATTACATAGTTCCTAAATATTGTTTCCCTCCGTAGATTATAAGATTCTTAGAGTTAGGAGTTGTACTTAATTTCATTCATTAGCTCAAAACTAATGAACAGGTTCTCATCTATAAATAAAAGCTTTTATAAAATATATATTTCAAATTCAATATTGTAGCAGTGGAAAAGTTAAGACAGTGTTATAAATTACTATTTTATCAAAGACACATGATATCAGTATGTATGATCATTTATGATAATCATAATCTAATCACCTAGCTCAGCAAGGGTTTCCCAGCTTTCTCCCCTATAAAATTACACAATCACTCTCCTTTTTATACTGTACATTTTGGAAGGACTGCTATACATACTCTGCATTTGAACAAATGGAAGTTATGGTCTACCACTTTGAAGTTAGTGTATTTATATAAATTGTTGAGAATTCTTCAACAATACAAATTGTTTCTTTTTCTTTTTTTTTAAATTTTTTTATTTATTAAAGATTTCTGTCTCTTCCCCGCCACTGCCTCCCATTTCCCTTCCTCTCCCCCAATTAAGTCCCCCCCCCAGCCCGAAAAGCAATCAGGGTTCCCTGTCCTGTGGGAAGTCCAAGGAACCCCCACCTCCATCCAGGTCTAGTAAGTTGAGCATCCAAACTGCCTAGCTTCTTGTTTATTTTTTCAGTCATTATTATGAACTCACTCATATTTGTTTGGACTCCAGCATATAATCTAATACTGTATTATTTATTGCTTAAATTATTCAAATTATTCACTGGAAATTCTTTGGTTCTTGTGTGGCTTTGCATACCTCTATTAGTTGTGTTTGTATATGTGTATGAACTTCCTTACTTTATGGTGCCACAGGATGCCCCAGGCTCACAGTATCTTCCCTGCCTGTCCAAACCTTATAATCAACCATTTCTGTAGTGAGCCTTGATCCCTTTTGAGGGGGAAGGAATAAAATTACAAACCAAAATGTGGTGTTTTTATGATTACTGGAGTGCCATTGCTTGCAGGAACTCTTAATTCTCAGCATAAGGCTATACATATTTGTATATACATATTTGTATATACATATTTTTCAGCCTGCATACATTATATTTCAAATACTACCATAGTATCTGTTTATCTTTGAACCATCTGTTAAAATGAAATAAATCATACTGTAGAGGTAAATATAAAGGAGAAAGGTTAACTAGAATGTTAGAGAAAAATGAGTAACAGTAGAGGTGACGGTAGTAAAATAATATCAAGATATATATATATATATAGATAGATAGATATAGATATATAGATATATATAAAAGTGGCTGAAGAAATGTGCTATTTAGAGTGATTATAAACCAATTAATTTGATAAATTTTAATGGTATATGTTCCAAAGCTAGGAATAATTGCAAAATAGTATTTTATTAGCATTTATTAGTAATAGCATTGATGCTATCACTAGCACTACTATTCTGGATTTGTCAGGGATGTAATGTGCTATAAGACATGGGAGTAAATCGGCTTGTTATCATTGAGAAGCACAATTTTTGGTATGTGAATAAAGAATGATGAGAATAAGAAAATTTCCCTGTGGCCCTAAATATTAATCTGAATAATTGGTCTTGGAATTTAAATAGGATGCTATTTAGGAAAATCAACTAGTGTTAGCCATCCCTATCCATGGATCCTCAAATATAATCAACTATATACTGAGTGGTTTTTTTTTTTGTTTTTTTTTTTCTTTAGAGATTGTGTCTATCTAGTTCACCTAGCATGGTGGTGCACGCATATAATACCAGCAAGTGGATGTAAAGGCAAGAGGATCAGGACTTCAAGAGCATCTATTCACAACTACATTATGAGTTTGAGGCCAGCCCAGGTTACATGTTATGACTCTTATGCCAAACATTTTTTCATGATGCAGAATAAATTAATGTTAATGTTTCAGTTTTCATGTTGTTTGGGATGACAATGACCAATAAAGAATTTTCATGACAAACAAAAGGTTAGAAAACACAGAAGAGTTCTTTTCTTACTGCTGGCAGGTAAAGCATAGACAATCTTTGCAGTCTAGAAAGACGTTTTCTTTATAAGACAGGGTCTTGCTGGGCGGTGGTGGCGCATGCCTTTAATCCCATCTCTCGGAAGGCAGAGGCAGGCAGATCTCTATGAGGCTGAGGCCAGCCTGGGCTACAAGAGCTAGTTCCAGGACAGGCTCCAAAGCTACAGAGAAACCCTGTCTGCATGTACTGGCTTTGTGGGAGCCTAGGCAGTTTTGGATGCTCACCTTACTAGACCTGGACGGAGGTGGGTGGTCCTTGGACTTCCCACAGGGCAGGGAACCCTGATTGCTCTTTGGGCTGACAAGGGAGGGGGAATTGATTGGGGGAGGGGGAGGGAAATGGGAAGTGGTGGTGGGGAAGAGACATAAATCTTTAATAAATAAATAAATTTAAAAAAAAGAGGACAGGGTCTTGCTATGCAGTTCAGGCTGGCATTGAACTGCCAGCAATACTCCTGCCTCAGCGTCCTGAGTGTTGTGATTACAAGTATACAGCAGCATGCTCAGCTTCAGTGAAGCTTTCCTAATGTAACAACTATGGTTGTCAATTTGGAGGGAAAACAAAAGAAGATATCTACTATAAATACAAGTCTCTGAGATTATACTCCTTGACCATGCATTCTACCCTCTCCCCAGTAGCTACAAAACTCAATAATCACTTGTAGAAATAACAGATCTCAACTGAGCATGGTGGAACATGTCCGTAATTCCTTCATGCAGAAGGCTCATGCAGGAAGATATAAATTTTGAGGCCCATCTGGCTGTGTAGCAAGACTATATATGTCAAAGAAAGAATTAAGTAATGGGAAGAAGGGAAAGAAAAGAGAAGGGGAAAGGGAAGGATTAAAATTAATATTTAAAATAAGTAGTCAGGAGAAAAGGAATTATGAAGAAATAGCAAGGATCCTATTTTCAAAGTATGCTGTGAAATGTCTAAAGGCTCTATGTGTGTACTATAAGCAATGAGGCTAGTGTGCTCGGATAGCAAAAAATGAGGAGCAAATCAAACAGAAACAAGATATGAGTCCCAAGCAAGTCTTAAACATGAGATTTGTTTTTCTTCAGCCTTCAGAGTGCTGGGATTATAAGCCCATGCAACTATGCCAGCTCAATGAAAACTTGTTGCTTCCCTAGAGCTGAGCCCCTGCTATGTTGCAGGTGTCCAAATGCTTGCTGCAGTCAGTGGGAAAACTATGCTAAGAAAACAAAACCACATTCATATGGCTGAGGGCAACAGAGGTATCTTGTTTGTTTGTTTGTTTTACTGTTTGGTTGGTTGGTTGGTTTGGTTTGGTTTGGTTTAGCGTTTTTTGCTTTTTGTTTATTCTCATCTCAGATAAGGCCTTCCTATGTAGCCTCGACTAATTTGCCAGCTTCTGTCTTTGTTGGGATTAAAGATGTGCACCACTATACCCTGCAACAGGGTAGGTTTTACAGTTACTTAGAGTTGAACATGTTATACATGCTAGCTATGTCTTATACATGTTAGCTGGGCCAGCAAAGGATCACTGAGTTGTCTCTGGCCCTTATATTACCTTTATCTCAAGTAACCAAAAAAGTTTAATGAGGATAGTTATCACGTCAATGTGTGTGTGTGTGTGTGTGTGTGTGTGTGTGTGTGTGTGTATGCCCAATGGAGTCAGAATATTCTAAGTATTAATAGCCGGTTTTTCTGAATTTTAAGCACATATTGCTGACAGACAAGAACAAAGTATCTCAGTATGCACACAAGCTGGTTATTGATACATACAAACATTCTTGTTTGTCTGTCTACCTATCTGTCTATCTGGATTTTGTGCTGACTGGCAGATAAATAATTCTGTGTTTTTAAAAAGGCCAAATTTTACAATCCTTTCAATTTCACTAACCTAAAAACATAGTACAGTCTTAAGTGATAAATAGAATTAATCTAACAGTTAACTTCAATTTGCCCTTAATTCAACAGACTGGTTGTCTAGACAATCTCAACTTATTTGATTATTGCTCAGCATTTATCTTCACTTTAGATAAATAAATCTCACCTAAGTTGGGAAATGTAATTACTTCTTAATTCGTTATTTGTCTAAGTCTTTCATTGAAATTTAAAGTACACTAAAAATGTTCCACAAAGATAGTCTCAAATTCTGAACAAAGAGAAAGTCTAAATTTAAAGCCATAAGTTTTACGAGCATTAATCCTCAGATAAGACACTCCAAGGAAGAGCATTAATTTTCATAAAAGTTGAGATACCTATACTTCTCCTTTTGGGATAAATTTCCAGAGAACACCGTTTATATTCAAAACCCTGAGCAGTCCTGCAGCAAAATAATAATAATAATAATAATAATAATAATAATAATAATAATAATAAAATACTCATTAAATTCAGCATCTCTCCACTCTCTGTTATTCTTTTTTAAAAAATTGTGCATCAAAATACAGTTAGGAAAAGCTGGTTTAATCACTTTCAAAATTGTTCAAATAGTTACAGTAATA